GTATGTCTAAGCCCCAAGGTTCTTATCACAGAGCCTAGCTACTATTATCTGATTTCCTGAATAATGCATGTTATGAAAAATCCTGTCCCTTTCTGGGACATCTGCAGTTTTAGGTAGTTCATTTCAGAGACGTTAGAATTTGGTCTACTGGTTAGATATTCTAAATCATAAAACTAAACAGCAAGTTAAGGATATTATTAAGACTACTCTTCTGCCCAGAATGCAAGGCATTGGGCCTTAGATGTTAGTTTGTGAAAAGGGTTTTAACTTTGGGAGAGGCTTCTGTTTATCTAGGTGAAATGTTTACATTTGAGCCTTTGGCTTTTTATTCCTGAGTTCCATGGAAGATATGTAAGTCTGTGGGGGCTGCAGAAACTTAAGCAAAGGCATCACCTTAAGGAAGGATGCTTATGCTGTCAGAAGTGCTGAGCACCAGCTTGGCAGTCACTTACCCTCAGAAAATGCTCACAAGGGGCCACTTGATGCACTGCAGTGTGAAGCAAGACAGACCTTGTAGAGCTTAACAACTAGCAGAATCCAACTGAGATCTTATAAGCAAAGGCTTACTGCTGGGGCCTTAGAAAGCAAAAGGCATGGAGACTTCCAGACTACTTTCTGCAAAGGCGAGGTGCTTGTGACAACTACAAGCTAACACCTGTACTGCTAGCTGGAACAGGTGGCTTTAGTATGCACATTTTCACTGCTTACTTCCCAAGCTCAGCATTTCCTAAGCAAGCATAGATGAAGTAATGATTCTGGTTTAAGCAAAACAGCACCTTACTCCTTTACATTCCTTTAGGTGTTGTTTGACAAAAATATTGTGGCAGTTGAATTCTGTACTTCAGAGCACCAGGGACATTCTACCTTAATTGTAAATACCAGCCCATTTGGATAAGTAAAGATAAATTAGCAGCTCCAAATCTTTTTTATGTCTTGTTAAAGAAGGAAAACACAAATAGGTATGCCTGAGTCTTCTAGCTAGTGCAAATATCCACATGCACTCAAGTTGGTTCTGAATTGCTGAACTTCATATCAGAAAGACACTTCTCAGGGAGGCAAATTTCTTCTGCTTACATAGTTTCACAAGAAGCAACAGAAGAAATGGCCACTGGGCTACAAGAGTAAAAACATACTCAGAAGGGAATGTGAATGTTGGTTTTCTAAATTGAGCCCAAAATGAGTATAGAATAAATTTTTAGTAACCTGGTACCTAAAGAAGAAATGTAAGTTAGGAAGTTGTGCACAACAGTAATGTAGGAGCACCAGCCAGCATTAACCTGTTAATAGGCTGTTTCTTCCCAAGTCTATTTTCACGGGTCATTTTTTTTTTTTTTTTGAAAGTGAGCAAGAAAGCACGATGTTTGAGTAGGTTTGCTAGAGCTGTCTTGACCAAGAGCCACAAACTGGATGGTTCAAAAAGCCAATGTATATTTTCTCTAAGTTCCAAAAGCTTAGAAATCAGAGGTGAAATATTGACCAGCCTGACTTCTTTTGAGACATTTCTGGTTGGCTTGTGGATGGCTCTCTTCTCCCTGTTTCTTCATATGGTCTTCCCTGTAGTCTGATTATATCCAAATTTTTTCTTTGTAGAACAACATCAATGGTGGATTAGGATCTACCCACATGATAGCATAAATGAAGTAATGATTCTGCGTTAAGCAAAACAGCACCTCACGTTACCTTAATAGCATCTTTAAAAATCCTGTAACTAAATATGGTAACTTCTCAGTCACTGAGGATTATGAGTACAGCATATGAATTTTATGGGCACAATTTAGACTACAACAATGCTACCTGTGAATGTTTTTCCAAAATCCCAATTATACCATATTTTTCATGGTTGATCATGCTTGTCCTAAGGCTAGTTTACTGACATTAGAATCTGAAATTGCAAAGCACAATAATATTTAAGAATTAAAAGCAATCAAAGAGTTTTAAGATTTCATCCTCTTCCCCACAAGTCTGACTCTTAGACCTAACCTTGCAAACCTGTTCACCTTTCAAGACAAGAGTTCACTTTAGATACAAGTCCATTAGGCTGAATTTATAGTAGAGACAACTCATTCTCAGACAGAATATTAAAGCCATAGAAATGGGAAGTTTCAGAGTCAGGGTCAAACCAAACCAGTTTTAATGTTAAGATATTAATATTCTATAATGCTGTTTTGTAAATACCCCAATGTTTTTATTCACTCTGAAAATTTTTTTGGCAATCTTATGTGCTAAGCCTTCAGAAAGCACAGAAAATAAATCATGTTGGTTTTAAAGTGAATCTGTATAATTTGTGACCAGTTATGGGACACTTTCTGAGGACATTATTTCGAATTTTTATTGTATTTTGTCCTACCCTATATTCTGCAATTATATAAACACTATCATGTGTGCATTGAAAATGACATGTGGCAACTTCTTGAAATACACTAAAATCCTAAAACAAGATAATTCATCTACAAACTAACAAAATTGTAATCAGAAATATCTATATAGTTGGAGAATTTGCTTTCTGAAGTGAAAGTATTACTAACATGGAATTTAATTATCTTTAACCTAGTCTGCATTTTCTAATATTCCTAAGTAATTAACAGCCAAAGAATCATTATCTTTGCCTACATTTCTCACATTTAATTTGTTTAAAAGATACCAAAGGCAAAGCCAACTTGAAATTTGTAATTTATCTAAATTATGAAATAATATATTTGCCAATAAAGAAAATAATTTGAGGGCTGGGGTTGTGGCTCAGAGGTAGAATGCTCGCCTACCATACGTAAAACACTGTGTTCGATCCTCAGCACCACATAAAAATAAAATTAAAATATTGTTAAAAAAAAAAAAAAGAAAATAATTTGAACAGGAATTTTGGAAAATATGAAAACATAGTTTATTTCATGAGGCAAGGTACTATAATAACAATGCCAGTGACATTTGATACAAATGTAAAGATGTTCTAGAAAATTATTTTCATTATAAGCAGTGAAATAATGATCTGATAAAAATAATCTAAAAAATTCTGATACTGTGTTGTTTATGCTGACAGGAAAACTTCTAAGTTCTTTGCATCTTAATTTATTAATTGTTATTAAAAAGTGATCAATATAATAGAGTTGATAAAACTGAGAAAGGAAAAGTTCATAAATTATCCAAGATAACCCTACTACCAAGTAGCAGACTTCTAGCTTAAAAATCATATAAAAAGAGACATTAATATGCAGATTAACACATAATCTTTTTTAGATTAATATTTTTGATTGAATGAATAATATATAAAGTAAAAAATCATCTGTGTTGCTCTAGTTGATACCAAAAGTAAATAAATTCATGGAATCCCCACATAGATGTAAAAATTAAACAAAGCATCTCACCATTAGTTGATTACCACCTCCTAGAAGAAATCTCTACTTTGATATGAATGACAGGTGTTGTATGATTTTGGAATTTGTTTAAATAAATTCATATTCAGTGTATTACCTGTTTCACTTGGCTTTGTTTTGGGTGAAAATGATTATAGTTTTTTATGTAGCTTATAAATGGGATCATGTAAGTCTGTTTTATGTTCTAATGAAAGTGTCTGCCCTTGAATTAACACTACAAAATGTGTTTTATTGTAGTTTTTTAA